TGTGAATAGGCAGATCCATGAGACCCATTACTGGAGTGGGAGGTGCCTAAACTGCTGACCGACGACTGATTGCAGATAGATCTGCTTGAGCCATCGTCGGCATAGCTCAAACTGAAGGGGCTGTCCAGTCCGGAAGACATTCCGGAGGAAGAGGCGGTAACGGCTCGTGCAATAGCGCTGACGGACGCGGGTTCATTCTCAGGGGGTGAGTGCTCCCAACGTTGCAGTGGGTTCATGGCTTCCAGAGCTGGTGTTCCTCGGCGTTGAGGGATATCCATGGGGCCTGACCATGAGGTGGTGTAGTGAGGTGATGTTGAACGCGGGGGCTGGACCTTGCCACGTCGACGAGCATTTGCAAGCCAGTTTGTGATCTGGACTTTGTTTAACCCTGTCTGGCGCTGCAGCATCTCTTTCTCTTCGTCACTAGGATAAGGATGGCGGTTGTGAGTCGAGAGCCAATTCTTGAGAATACGAACAGACTCTCGGGAGAATCGTGCTCCAATTTTGGGAGGAGGTGCGGCCTTGTTGTTGAATGTTTCTCCCAGGTTGCCTAGATCACTGACGGAGGCATTGCGAGAGGCATTGCGAGAGGATTGGCAAGAGTCGTCCTGGTTATCCTCCTGAAGAGCGTTGGAGATCTGAGGTCCAGACGGTAGAAAGGGGTTGATGTCAAAGGGCGCAACTGAGGTGTTGATAGACTCGGGGGCAACAGCAAAGCTGCAGTCGACTTTCAATGCTACGCAGGTAGTGCAATAGTCCTTGTACATACCCTCCCGGATCTTTTTGCATGAAAAGCCAGAAATAGCACAGTTGATGCATGGCGATGGAGGCGTGTCCCACTGAAATTGACTAGATATGTCTTCAGCGGTTGTGGTGAAGTCCATTGTTGGGGCGGGCATGTCCGGCAGAGGGAAGTTGTTGTCTGAAAAGTGTTGAAGGGCGCAGAAGCTGAAGTCGTCTTCACTGACATTCTCCAGGACAAGATCAATGCTCTCGTTGTTGTCAGCTGTCAGACCAGCAAAGGCGTTGCCATCCTGGGTTTGCGGAAAGGCGTCAATGGCCTTGTCCCAGTTGACAAATTGCTCCATCTCATCCATATTGGACATGATGCACAAGGATGAGTGCTGATGCGGAGCAGAGATATCGGCTCAGGTCAATCGAAAGGCGCGCGTGAGGGTGACAGCCATGAACCGAATAGATTTGGATGTCGGTCAGCTTGGTCCCACTCGAATCGTTTGGAGTGGGAGCTAGAAGGACGCAAGATAAATAAATAGATGGAGCCTGAAAATGAAGAGAAAAGAATGAGGCCCTCCAAGTCGAGGATAGTCACTGAGTTTTGTTCAAGATGAAAATCCAACAAAGGTACTACTGTACAAGTACCTACCTAGGCATAAGGTAGTAAGTAACGGTCTATCTAGTAACACATCGAAGGAGTCAGCAGTCTCCATCCCCCAGAATGTGAACCAAGCCTTAAGGTAAAGTCTGGTGGAGTTGGAGTGCAGAATGTCGGCCAGCCACACCAACCAGCTGAGCGAGTCTAGCCAGATTGTCAAGTCGTGCGCCCTTCAATTGACAGACAAGGATCTTTTTGATCAATGGACCCACGCGCACAAGCTGTGGGGTGACGGTGCTTCCAACACTGTAGTATGGTTCTAACTCCTCCGCATATGGTGAGCCAGTAGTATGGATGTCCAATCACTGTCTCGACCGTACAGTGTCAGCTCGACACGGTCAACAAAGGCTGGGCTCCGCTTCTCGTAGTTCGCAAGGCGTAGCCATCCATGCGGATGCGTCTCGCTAGACACAAGTCTTGACCCGAGACCGGCCTTCTTATGGATCTTTCTTGACCTCGCAATAAGACCTCTTATATGATGCATATCATCCATGATATCTTTTGGAGGCTCGTTGTCAACCGGATCGGAGTCGTGACTCTGATAAAGCCCGAGCATGCGCTTCCCCGGAGTGTCTATGTGGGGTTTAACACATCCTTACATAGAGGCTCAGATGCTTGATTCTCCGCTATAATTCACTGATTGATTGATATATACCAATGCCCTCCTCGAATCACTTCAAGATTGTCTAGAAAGCACTGGAACTTTCTAAGAAACGGTTTATCGGAGAGAAAAATAAAGACCATGCCGGTCTGCCTTGTCGGTGAGATTTTAGAATCAGCCACCGACACACAACATCCTTAGCATTGGGGTAAAAAATCGCAGATCACTCAAGATATTTCCCTGCTCCAACACGACGTTGTGGTGTCTTATCATTTGACGTATTGGTAAGCAGAAAAGTTGGCTGATGTCTTTTCTGTACGTACGTAGGTATGGACGGAGTAGGATTACGATTGATGTGAGCAAGATTTGGTGTAGGTACAGTAATAAATGATCAAATCCTGGGGCAAAAAAGGCGCCATTGTTTTAGGCGAACCCGCCTACACCTACACAGCGGAAATGCTGCGGAAAGCAGGCAGAACGGGTATGTGGTTTGCGTCTCACCTTGGATCGGAGTCTCCGGAGGCGCTCCACCCCGGCACCGGCACCGGTCATTATATGAGGGTGAGCAGCAGTGAGCATACGAAAAATGAAGGACTGATGCCAGGACTTTCAGATTTTGCTCAATTCAGATATAGCTCCAACTATATCAAAGCTCTTTACGTTTGCTTGATGATCGATCCTCTGACCATCTTGATCGGATGGATCCCCAACCGGAGATAGACAGGCAAAACATCTAGATCTCCGTCAAGGCCGCGAGTCTAAATTAGCTCAATATGCATATACGGCAAGATCCGAAACATGGTGCTGGGCAATATCACAATATGTCTACCTGGGAACCTTGGCTGTTCAGAGACCTATTTACTTTCGTATGTGATATGACCAAACGTTTTCTACCCTATCCTACTGACACAAGTCCAAGTGTCTGTCGCCAGATTGATCGGTTTACCTTTTTGGGTTTTGCTTGGTGCTGGTTCACTTTTCGACTTGCTTGGTACTACTCCGTATGCTCAAACAAAGCACTGGTCCTCCTCAAGCCATTACTCCTCAAGTTAAAAGAATCATCGGCCTTACTAAAATATAAAATACTTCAGCCAGCTGTTAGTTATAAGTTTAATCTATCCCGGTCATTTCTCGTCGTAAGTTTCCTCTTATTGAAGTTAGTTCGTGGTGCTTAGTTCTATGAGTGAACTATGGGATTTCCTGTATTTCCATATATCAACATCGACATCGGCTCAGCTCAGTTGCAGTCGTTTATAGCTTTTCATAATCTCCTTTCAATCGATGTTGCTGGTATTGTCCAGGCCAGCTGAGATTCTGAGGACATCCACACAGCCTGCGGCGAACCCTGAAAGCACAGTAACCTACTTGAACAGGGTCGAGTCCTCATATCGAGTGAAATCATTTACATATATAAATCGATCGATACTTTTAAGTCTTTTGGCTATGCTGTCACGACATATATCAATACTTTCCTCCTCTAGAATGTAACATACAACGACCATATCCAATTCTCCCGAACGCCTCGACTGACAGCAATCTACGGGCTTAGGATAGCCATGCAAAAATTAGCAAGCCAAATTTCATTGACAGGTTACTTGTTTGTGATTTACAGTTCAATGATAAACTCATACGCTATGCTGATGATATCCTGACTTGTTTTAACACGCAGCAGGGAACGCCATCCGTCAAGGTTGTCCAGCGGCAATGAACGGCTACCACAAGGCACCCGTAGATGATTCATGCAGATGCAGATTCTAATATAGGAATGTAATACAAGACGCAGTGTATGCATAAACGGTAGCCACCATAGTTTCACGACAGCCCTACCCCCTCCCTGAAGGCTGCAATTACATGGGTCGATGATCCAATACTCCGCGCCAGGCGTTTTATATGGTTGATTAGGAGGGATATATCATGGATGGCCCATATGTATTGTGGTTGGTAAATGGTATTGGATGCTAGTGGTGATACTTCTAGCATATCTAGGTATTCCAAGAATTCGAGGACACCTTTTGCCATCTTACCCGTCGTTAGACCTTCTCTAATGGTCCAAGAAACCTTTTCTCCCCGCTCTGATAATCCATTGCATTGCTTAAATAGTCTTGGAATTTGTTTTTCACAAGTCACAATGTCACTGTCTCTGATAAACGAGTTCGCCGCTTTTCTCTCCGCAGCGTTGCATTTGTATGGATCAATCAGCCTAAACAACCAGCCTTGCACTTCACGATCCTTGGGGGCATCATGGTTCGTTGTGGTCACGCGACATCTAGGGTTTTCTGATCACTTCATTCTTGCATGGCAACTTACTCTTATCCCCAATGGCCTGTCAAACTTGGGCTATGTACGCATTGAGCATCTACGTAGGTAGTGAGCACGGGGTCTTGTGCCACGCTATGATGTCCACACAATGGATGCTTTACTGTGCGAGAACCTTCGCAAACCATCTTTAGAATGGACTTTTTGTCTCGGAAAACTACGCAAATTCTATCAAAAAAATATTGTTTCCAACAAAGGCCGTTATCACAATGAATAAATCAAAGAGGAAGCGGAAAGGAGGCTCAAAGCTGATACTTGATCAAGTTGTCAACGCACAGTCGCTCAACGCGACACCGCATTCTCTTTTTCTGGCTCGTGTAAACTATCTTGCGATACATACAGCCTGACCCTGTCTATATGTGCATTTTCCGTAGCGTAAACAATGTGCTTTTCGAGGGATAGGGTGGTATCGCTGGCCGAGGCCAGTAGTTCTGTATAATCCTTCCAATAGCTTTTAGATGAGAAGAAAGAAAGCAGACCAGACACGTATGTCAAACACCATGCTCTTTGACAGCAATAACTCCAGTTTCATGAGCTGGAACCCATCCGAGAAGGCCGTGTGTGCTGTGAAATCCAAAATGCGCCAGTTCCTAACCCCCCTTCCATTCACTAAAATTTCGCGTCCAGTGACACCTTGCTGACCAAGGGGCACCTCATAAATCGTTGATGTCTTATCGTGGATCCTACTCATTAATCATGTCCAAGTTCTTGTAATTCTCTCTCTTTTGCGGCAAGCATTTCTCGCATCTTGTCCGCTTCGCGTTGTAACGCTGCTCGGCGCTCAGCCTTTATCCTCTCAGTATCGAAATCACGCGGGCCAGCACCTGGCGTATTATCCCGGTTAGAAAAGGCACTGGGGCTCGGTGCTGATGCTATGGTACTACCAGGTGATCGTATGGGAGGTAAGGAATAGTCACCGTCGTCGCTTCCTGTCCCTAAATTGGGGGGAGTGGTGGCTGATGTCGATGGATTCAGTATCGATTTAATATTGATCGAGGAGATTCGTTTCGAGCTCTCCTGTCCTGTTTCTTGTGAGGCAAATGCTTCACTTTCCGTAGTAGAGAAGGATCGTTTTCGAGTTGGCGACAGAAACGAGGCAGGGGATAGTGACGTTTTCCTATCGTTGTTTGATGACATAGACGCCATGGGAGCCAGTCGATTATCGTCGTTCAGGGATCCGGTATACTGACGTGGGTTATTTGACTGGTGATATGCAGCTAGATCCGAGGTCGAAGGCAGTGGCGATATTGTTCTACTTGTAGGTCGGATAACCGGTTGAGGCTCGATCGTGAGCGGATGGTCTGGGCGGCGACGAAGACCCAGATTGACAGACCCATCCTCATTCATTGACCCCTTCTCAGCATTTTGTTCGTATTGACCTTGCATTTCGGCGGGCTCCATTGCATCTTCCATCTCCTCATCCTGCGACGCTGGGATAATTCGTTTTCGTCTCTTGATGGTCGATTTCTTCATGGTCATCGGCCGGTGGACACCATGTAACTTGTAATATAGACCTAGGTTTGTTAATAAATACTGTTTGATAAACGCTAAACACACAATACCTACCACAAGCATTGCAGATGGTGTGGCCACTCTCATCACGCCTCCAGAGAGGTGTAATAGTGGTGCCACAGTTCTGGCATGCAATCACAACCGTAGCATTCGAATTCTGTTGATTTTGCAAGGCATTGACGTCCAGAGGCACCGGTTCCGGTTTGGTACTTTCACTTCGACTTTGGCAGCTCTGTCGTTTCTGCGTTCCACCTAGGTTGGCACTTTTCGAAACACGATTGTTATAGGCAGGGCATCCATTGCAGCCCTCTGCACCACCCGTTCCGTTACAGCGTCCACCTCCAGGACAAGTCCCTCCAGTCTGATCAGCCGATATGTAGGTCGCATTTGACGCAGGTTTTGGACCTGCGACTGCAGAGGGCTTCGGTGTGGTAGTTCGCGGAGGGTCTGCAGGGACAACATTTGGTGGTCGCTTGAGACTAGTCGGACGAGAGGCGTTTCTGGCTTTCAGATAGAGACCACAGGCGTTGCAAATCGTAGCACCTTGAGGTGATCTCCTCCACAAAGGGGTTCGGGTGGTTCCACAGTTACTATCATCGGTATAAGCAGAGATTGCTATAGAAGTAAAGCTACTTAACTCACCTGCAAACTTGTCCTTGGCTGCCACTAGGTGGCGGACTTGTTTTTAATGGCGGACTTGTTTTTGAACCATGCTCTGCCCCAGGACTCTGTTGCCTTGACATATTTGCTGGAGCTGGGCTTGTCTTAGGACCAGGCGGACTCCCACTTAGTCTATTTTGGTGGTCACGGTTGTCCTGGCCGGTAGGGAGTCTGGTCCGCTCCTGAGAAGGAATAGCCGGGCTATCACTTGGTTTCGAGGACATTGGTCGTGATGGCAGCGCAGTTCGCGCTGAGGCCGTCTCACGCTGATGGCTATACAGCGCCGTTTCCTGGGTTTCTTGGCTCATGCCCGTAGGTAGGGCTGACAGTATCGAGGGAGACAAGACGGCAATGGTTCAGATGAAGCGAATGGGTGTTCTTCAATAGTCTGAGTTGGAATGCGACGGATCAGTTACAAACCGAAGTCTATAGCATTCATTGGCGTTGATATCGAGGGTCGGGAGGTTTATTTGATTGTGGTATAGGTCGAGGATGAGTAAGAATGAAACTTGGTTGATAAAAGAAAGTCCTTCACACGACTCGTAATCGGCTGCAGCGGATTGATAAGTGGTTTCGAACCGGCCGAGCAAGGAGGCAAATCCGGAGAGAGGCCGGAGCCGGGTTCCGCAACTAAGAGTTCGCAGGCACCGAAACGAGCCAAACAGATGGAATACTTTCTTGGCTCGATGTGAGGTATAAGTCAGAATGCTAAAGGAGTACCTAGTTCAGAGCCCAATCTGCAGTCCAGCGATATGTATCGTCAAGTTGCCAGTTTTGCTGGTGGGCAGACGAGTCGAACAAGTTTGCCAGGGTACAAAGGGACTGTAGATGCGTAGGCAGCTGACCTAGTAGTAAACAGGACCAATCGAAAGATGGATCGAGTCCGATCGAACGGGAAGCCAGGTATTGGTCAGACGACAGGTGTCAGAGAGTGACGCGACAGCGACCAGATACTTGGGACCGGCGCAACTGCAAGGCCGAGAAGACCAAAGAAGAAGGTTGAGGAGTTGACAACCGCGGGGAGGAGAGGAGAGGACAAGGATGTGCGGAGTGTGTAGTAAAGAAGACGAAGGGAATAACCAAGGACAGGAGATAACAAAGATTATCAACCAAACCAAGAAGGCGGAAGGGAAAAGTACCGTAGACTATCCGTAGGTGCAAGGGTGATGAATCTGTGACTACGCAATGACAGGTGTTGTTGGTAAGACAACAAAAGGCGGCCGAAAGCGAAGTGCAGGACACACTGACAGAAGAGGATGGGGACGGAACACGCCTTGTCTCGTTCCTAGGCAAGGTATAATTGAATGTGGTGCTTGGCGAATAACAGGGGAGGACTTCGTCAATGGGTTGAGGCGTAAGACTCCCAAGTCTTGCGGCACCACCAGGCTGGGACGGTGGAAGGTGAATTGGTGACCAAGCAGAGCCAAGACCAAAGACCAGGGTGTATGTTTGCGTGTGCGTGTGTGTGCACGCGCGCGTGAGATACCGTCCGTAGATCGATAACCAGCGAGGCAATGAGACGGCAGATGGCAGATGGCGGTGGAGGAAAGGACGGTGACCCCGGGAGAAGGGTATCCGAGACCAAGAGAGGACAAGGTGGGGGTTAAGGTCTTCCAAGGGAAAGGTAGAGAGAGGGAACTCGGAGAGGACAGTTGATAGAGCAGATGGACGACCAATTCCGTCTGGTTTGAGATTGAGAGGCACAGACAGGTCAGACCAGAAAGAGAGGGCAGAGAAAGTTGGGCAGAGTACTCCGTACCTTAGGTAAGGTGATTGCGATTGATGATCAGACAAGACCTGATCTAAGGTAAGGTAGGTATCCAATGGGGCTGGGGCTTAGTCTTGGAAATAGATCTGGCTTGTGCTTTCTTGATTGCCTTGCCTTGCCTTGCCTTGTCTTCTACCCTTCAGATTGTTTGGTATTAGTTATGGTGGATTGGAGACTGGTTGTCGGGTCTCGGGAGCTGGCGTTGCATTGCATGAGCCTAAATGGGGCCCAGCAGAGACTCGCTGACTCTTTGTTCTCTCTGTTCTCTCCTTCTCGTACCCCTCAGTGGCAGTCAGGTCTAATTCGTCCTTAGGTTGGAGGGGAGTGACGTGCAAAGGCAAAAAACAAAACCAGAAGCAAGACGAGACTCAACAGACACATGATGCGATTTCACGGGGAGTCGGCCCCAGCATGGAACGACGGCCGCTGGTGGGTTGGGGTTAAAACAACCGACTTGATCTAGACACTCTCATCTCGTTTCTAGTGTCTTTCTTAGCTCTTGAACCAAAGGTGCCGTTTCCGACTGCATGGATATCATTTGATGCTGAGCACTGTTCGTATTTTTCACGTGAGAGATCTATGTAGGTACTAAGGTATGCCTCACAAACCAGAACTGTCTCCCAAACTCTCCAGATCTCGTCACGCCAGAAAACCTGCAGAAAGGACGGGACCCTTCCCAGCGTGTCACTGTCGTCACAGTGGAGGAACCAAGCGAAAGGCCCTTAAATTAGGACGCTCTAGTAGGCCCCTCTTCCTCACCGCGGCTCTGTCAACTTTGTTATTTCGCCCCTGAAATGCGTTGGATTACATTAAGTTGTCTCTGATTGGTTCAGCTAATACGGAGAAATTCCTCTTCGTTAAGTTCGTTCCTTGGCGCTGCTGGTCGGATTTTTGCGCAGGGGATCGCCGTCCTGGTGCCCTGACCGACTCAGATCCAGTACGCGCTAGGCCGAGATCGGGCCCTCTTTTTTGTTCTCTCCATTCGATTCTTATCAGCCGAGGCTTGAGGTCACTTCTCGTTTTTATCTTATCTTATCTCACCCTTCCTTATCGATCAGTGCCTTTGGCTAGGAGCTTTGTTCCCAAGAACGATCAGCATCTAGGAGCTGGTTGTCACGCCGCGTAGCCGCATCACTTAGAATCGTCTCGTGTCACTCGGCATCAATTCTATAATTTTATCTACTTCTATGCAATATCACCAACGCCTTAATCATTCCCTTTGGTGATGGCTTCCGACCTCGGGAGCTCTCCCAAGAGAGAGCCAACACCCACTCTTCCTTTATCCTCGGTTCCTCAAAAGCGCCCCCTTGAGGAAGGCCGTCACAGTCCTGTCGTTCCCTCGCCACTGAACCCCGAAGTCAGGCCACCCGACTCTTTGGCACCTGAAGATGCTGCTCAGAATTCCAGATCCAAGTCTGCGCGAGCAAAGAAGGATACTCTAAAGAAACGCGAGGCCAAAGGAAGCGATAGTGTCCGTGCGACACCTGATCCAAAACCAAAGTCGAAGCCACAGAAGAAACAGAGCGAGTCGAGCCCATTACGATACAACTTGGGGCAGCCTAAGCTGTCCAACTTCAACCCTCCTCGAGGTCCTGTCTTGACGGCACACCACGAGGTTACTGCCCCTGACGGCCAAACGGTCGAATTCTTTGAAACATCGGACCAGTAAGCCAAGACTATATCTGATGAATACCTTCAAGCTAACTGTCAAAGTGTCTCCAATAAGAAGAGCTTCCGCTACACTCCCTGCATCGCCGATCCTCTCTTTCCGTCCATGATCTACTACCGAAGCACAGAACCAGAGCCATATGGTCCCCACTTGAGCTTCGAGGACTCAGCAGGGCATGTTTATTTTGATAAGTCGGCTCGTCACGTCACAACCGAAAAAGGATTTCGCATGGCAAGGGCCAACGTGGCTGTCAGGGAGGGCAGATGGTACTGGGAGTGCAAAATCACACAAGGAGTTCGACCACCAAAAGATGGAGAGTCCAAGCCGGAAGGAGGCAAGCATGTCCGCGTAGGCTGGGCAAGACGAGAAGCTTCACTTGATGCGCCTGTGGGGTTCGATGCTTACAGTTATGGCCTCCGTGATGTCGCGGGAGAAAAAGTACATATGTCCCGTCCTAAGGAATTCTTTCCTGCGGGAGAAGGCATTCGAGAGGGGGATATCATCGGCCTCGAGATTCAACTTCCATCAGAACAATTGCACCGCAAGGTCATGTCTGGGCAGTATAATCCAGTTGTTGATCAGACCGACGAGGAACCTGCGGCCACCGCTGAAGGCCATAACATTGTTCGCGATCGCTATCCCATACGCTTCAAATCGCATACTTATTTCGAGAAGAGCGAATACTCCCCCGCCAAAGAATTGGAAGATCTTATGAACCCGGCAGGGGCTGGTGGTGGCTCTTCAGAAGAACCTGGTCCTAATCACCCTCTTCCAAGTCTCCGCACGCTTCCCAATTCTTGCATCCGCGTGTACAAGAATGGGGTTTTAATGGGAACTCCGTTCGAGAATCTCCTTGGCTTCCTTCCACCAGCTTCACGTCCTCAAGGCCAAGCTGGCGGTCGCGAAGGCCTTGATGACGGCATGCTCGGATACTACCCTGCCGTAAGTGTCTTCCATGGAGGCGCTGTGGAGGTAAATTTCGGCCCCGACTTTTGGTATCCTCCCCCAGCTGAGATCGAAAATAAACCCGATAAGGTCTGGTCCGGCAACTCTCGCCTGAACAGGGTGCACCCTGTGAGCGAGCGTTATTCTGACCAAATTGCAGAGGATATTGTCTGGGACATCATTGATGAGGTGGACTTCTGGTCCAAAGATGGGGGTGGGGCAACAGATCGCCAAGGCGTGAGCGCCAAGAGTGAAGCTGTCGCCATGGCCCCTGGGCGAGAAGAGATCAAGGAAGTGGTTCAAGACGATTGAAGCATCGCAAAATATGTTGTCTCTTTCTATCCAAATGATGCTGGATAGCTGAGCTACGAAAGCCTCGAGAAGATATGTTCATTTCAACCTACAAAAGATACCCACTGTGAAAATGCAGAAATCAAGTTTATTGTTCATGCCATGTCCATCAATAGGAAAAGCTGGTATCGCACTGCCCCGAGGCTCCATTCTCATTGCGTCATAAACCTTGTCGTAAATACTGCTCGTCACCATATATCAACCTGCTTACAGACGGAAGTCCTGTCCAGGCATTGTCTCAACGACGACGAACCGGTTCCTCTGGCGAGACTGGCTCGACTACAGCAGGAATCGGGGATGGCTCAGACAACGGGGAAACAGGATCTCCAAGTATTGCCCGGTCGGCATTACGACTCGCCGCCGCTGCCTCTGGCCCCGGAAGAAGAGGGTCATCTGGAAGCTCTTCGATACGATCGCTACCATCAATAGGTGTCTCAGCTGCAGATTTCTCACGCTCCAGCCGCACCTCGCGGCCTCTCTTGTGACAATACCAAAGTACAAACATTAATACTATTCAGGGTTAGCAAATACATGAACAGCTTGGGAAGCGATACTTACAGAATAAAGCAACGCTC